CAAATTAATGTTCTCTATCGAACTACGCTAGAATCAACTCTTCATATCAAAAAATGAAGTTTTTATTGAAATTTTAAAAATAGGGCAAAAAACCCGAAAAAAACTTAAAATTTTTTTTTATCAAAAATCATAAATCCGGGAACTGAACGCTTTGTTGAGACGTATACTTGGAAGTGTCCTCCACAAACTGCTGGAAAAAAACGGGTGGGCCCCCCCCCTTAATATACATGTGAAACAGTCAATTAAGTTATCATAACTTCTCACTCCTGTTAGATTGTAATTATATACGATGATATTTATACATGCTGATGTATACGTATACCCTATTACTTTTCCTTTGCTAAGCTACTTACATAATCATAGATCACTAGTTAATAAAGTAGTGTCAGTTTATTTAAAGAGGATAATAAAATTCAATATGACTCCTCTAGCTACATACATACATACTTCAGTCCAAAGAAGAAACGAAAAGCATAAGATGGAGATAAACAGCTCACACAAAGAGAAAGATAATCGAACAGAAGTTCCCTGAAATTTGTCGGATGGTTCGAATATCATATTGTCAGATTTTTCAACTTGCACACCCACGTCAATGAGTTTTTCTTCGCCTGGTCGAATAGTCGCATGATTAATTAATAAAACTGGATACTGAATGTGTTCAGGGTCTTCGAACTAAAGTGAAACTGATGTTCCTTTAACAAAAACTCTTCGATCAACACCATCGATATTTATTTTATTCTTCTGTATCCAGTCATTTCCTGAAATAGTATATTAGTGACCAAATTTGTTGAGACTTCAGCAGTTACGTAGGACCTATGTCAACAATGAGATCAACTGTATCGGTTGTGTGGATCGCAGTGTTTGTAGCTGTCATGAATGTGTTCGCACTTTTTTGGATTTTCCGATGTCGTAGGTGCTTTAAGACGTTCTGATGGATAATTGTTGTGACGGCGCCGTGTTCACAATAGCTGTTTGCGGCATGTTATTGATGCGAACTTTGATAATAACTGGACACGCTGATGGCTATTGTTTTTTCATTCAGGTGCCCCCGCTACGCGTTTAAATGGTTTTGTGGATAACTGTAAGCCTGATGGATAGCCCACATTTAAAACAGCCATTGTGTTTTTTATGCATACAGTTAATTGTTTGATGATTTGAGCGTCCACAGATTAAGTACCGGTCGTAACAATACTGTTGCTTGGCTTGAATCCATCGCAGAATGCTCGAGCGTTCGACTTGATGTTGAATGCGCTTGTTGAGTTTGATTATTCAAATTATGTTGTTCAATGCAGCAGACACACTGACTCCAGCATAGCTTTTAAAAATTCCACTATCGGAGGAATCTTTAAAAATATTGCCACCGGCAGAAACTAATCAACAACGATATTTTTCATAAGATAATAGTTCAATAGCAACTTCTTTTGTGATGCCATCACGCACTAATCCATATATCCCCCCCTCCCCCCATAATAGAAGACCACTGAAAATTATATGACTTGAAAGCGAAATAGAAGACCAGTGGTCTTCTATTTCAGAATTAGTGGTGCACTAGTGCAGAATTATTCGGCACTGGTGCGCATCAGTGCCAGGAAAATTTTCAAGTTTCACACTGATGCGCATCGGTTCGAAACAAAAACTAACATTTGACACCGGTGCGCACCAGTGCTGCACAAAAGCCGATAATTATTTTCTTTTGTAGGGTAGTAGTTATATGATAATACATTATGAGCAAAAAAATGTGGTTTAATCTTTCTAGTTTTTTTTATATTTTTTTATTATTTATATTGATGATTAATCGCTATGTTTTTGCCATTAGCATTATTAGTCCGTTAAGGCCGTCCTTGCGGTGACAATGCCAAGATATTTTGACATAGCAATAGTGAGAGAGAATTTAATGAGCGCTAATTCCACAAAGCTAATTCACAGTTTAAGTGTCTGGGCGGCGATTATAACGCCTCAGCTCTTAAGTTTTTGTTGGACGTACACTTTCAAATATAGATTACAAATCCGGAATTTATTTTGAAAAAAAGTATGTATTCAGCGTGAAAGTTAAACTGTAAACCCTTTTTCTATTCTACTCGTCTCGTCTGTATTCTGTGACATTTTTCTTTGTTTTTTTGTTAAGGTTGATGCCCTAGCTCGTTCACAACACTTGGATGAAGCACAATCGATCATAGAAAATTATGAAAAAACGAATGAACGTCTTGTTGTTATGTGGATGCCATTACTTAGTGCATGTCGAACATATAAACAAGATAAAAAAGCAAAAGAAATCTACGATAAAATAAATGATATGAAAAACATAAGTAATCGTTATTTAGCATCTGTTAATGTTTTAATGGGAAACACATATGCATCAGTAGGTAAATATTATAAAGCTGAATCTGTTCGATGGAAAATGGCTCATGAAAATATAAGAAAAATACCGGGCATGACATGGATAGAAATCGATGGTGTTAGTCATTCGTTTTATGCACATGACACATCTCATCCAAAATCAAATGAAATCTATAATGAATTAGGTAAATTACAACAAGATTTAATTGATTATGGTCACAGATTTGACTTTAGTTTAATATCACGCCGTGTTAAAATAGAATATGGTGAAACACCATTATCTGTTATAATGGGACATAGTGAAAAATTGGCTATAGCTTATGGTCTTATATCAACTAAAGAAAATGAACCATTATTACTAGCTAAAAATCTAAGAATATGTCCTGATTGTCATACAGCAACAAAATTAATATCAAAAATTCGTCAACGAGAAATAAATATTCGAGATGCCAACCGATTCCATAAATTTAAAAATGGGCAATGTTCATGTAATGATTTTTTCTGATTATTAATAACGTTCGTTTTGACTTATGGTTGAAATTTATGATCACTTTTGTTCATTGTCCTCATTGCAGCTATTTGTGACAACGCGAGGTTAGATAACGTTGTGCGAGAAAGTCACAGCTGTCATAGAATTCAATTTCATATTTGTCCTGCAGTAAGAGAATTTGGGTAATTCGTGCTGGGAGTTTACGATGTTCAGTACTCACGAGGACAAAATCACCGAGGTCGAATGGCGCGTCTTCTTGTCCCTGTTCGAATGACATGTCGTAAAAGTGCACACTAGGGAAACAGTAAGGATGAGTATCGGAAGAAGGGAGGAGGAAACAATAAGTAGTTCAGAAACCGATGAATGGCCAAGTGGAGGAGGAGGCATAAGTACGGAGGGATAATCATACATGGTTGAGCAAGAAGATTATCTTCTAATGTTTGACCCAAGCTTTCCAACTGGTTTTGGGTAGCCAAGGAAGTCTCACTCAGTTTCAGCTGAAAGGCGTGGAGTGCAACATCGGTATGCTGGTTCGTTCGGTCAAGTTTTTCATTCAGTTTCTGAATGAGTACCGTCTGAGAACGATGATTATCATAAAGCGTTTGAAGGTGGTCCTGGATGGATCTTTCAGTGAAGACTAAATTAGGAAATTCAGTCATGATAAAACCAATGTGACTTACCCAACTAATCGAACAGGTAGAAAAACAACGGAAAAATACTATGTAATGAAAAAAACAATTTGCAAGAGAAAAAAAAACTTAGCAGGAGAACGGAAGGTTCGGCAAGACGAGATCGTCACGTGTGAAGACTTATACTTCTTCTGGTTATAAGTCCTTGAGAATTTATTGTATGTATGCTATATAATATGTATTATACGTATATTATCCTTTATTCGACCACTCTTTTAAACAAGTTACAACCTACTGACACTAAGAACTAATATATCTCTTACATGCTAAAAGATAAGAACAAAAAGAAAAAGAAAAGGAACATCAAAAATACCAAAAAAGAGAGGACAGAGCGGAACACAGTAAAGTAGCTATCTACAGAGATAAACTGTACATTGGAAGTAAAGGTTGTGATCAATAATCGTCACACGGTACTGTATCATATATTCACTAAGAAGTGAATCACGTGACAATTAATTATCTCATAGCAGAAACGATAGAGTTTTCTGTTTCATTCGGTCGGCTTAAAGAAAGAAGAATTTTGCTAGGCAACGCTCGAAACTAGACAGAATAAGTCACCCCATCGTTTCACTCAGTCGACTTAAATAGATGTCAACTGCCCTACGGGCATATTGGAATCCCAACCGAGTTCGTTTCGCCGAGATATGAATTTTTTAAATATAGAGGCTTTTCCGCAGGTATTGTGCAACACATGGATATTTTTTGAAAGATTCATATCCCGGCGAAACTTTGCCCAAAAATTCTGAAATTTCTTTTACAAGCTAGTCTATGTGAGACCTTTATGCGGGCAAAGTTTCAGGCCAAAATTCGAAAATATGATTTCGCTGAAAAACTGGGGTCCAGCAGGGAAAATTCAATAAAAAGTCGATATCTCGGTTAAATCTCAATAAGAGCACGAATAATTTGGAGGCTGTTCTAGTCTATAGGTCCCCTACCTCTGGGCCAACTTTGGGCTCAAAAGCTTTTAATCATTTGCGGGCCTTCCCTCGTTAGTTACACAGTGGGCAAGATAATTTGCCGCCATCTTGAAAATGGTCAACTTCATACTGGCATATGACTTGGGCTAGTCAGCTTTATCATAAATGCTAGGTAGTATCTACCACAAATTCACGCAACCGGTAGCTTCGTACATGTTTCCGTTCTTTGACTGTAGATGATGTTGAGAGAGTCCAAATCATCAGTCAGTACAGAGATCGATTTAGTCACAATTAGGGCTTCTGTACACACTTTGAAACTGTAACTATACACTGAACAACCAAAACATTTAGAATTTCACAATCTAATAAACTCAGAATTTCACGTTGCAACTACATCCGGAATTCAAAATAATTTAGAATCTCAGAATATCAGTATGTAACATTGCGAATAGATCTCGAATTCCAAAACATTTAGAATTTCACAATTTGAAAATACCAGAATGTTACAATTTCATACCGTCACTACACTGAATTTCAAAACACCAGACTTACAGAAATTCACATTGCACCTATATCTCCAATTTCAAAATATTCAGAATCTCAGAATCACTGAATTTCACAATGTCACAATTTCACATTCCCACTATAATCTGAACCGAAAAACTTTTAGAATTCCAGCATTTCAGAATCACAGAATCTCAGAATTTCCCATTGCCGCTATATCCTGAAATCAAAAACATTTAGAATTGCAGAATTTCAGAACCTCGAAATGCCAGAATTTCACAGTATATTTAGAATTTCCAAACATTGAGATTCTCAGAATTTCAGTCTGCCAGAATGTCAAATTGTCACTGTACTCTAAATTCAAACACATTTCGATTTTCAGAATTTATGCAATGTGAAATACTGGCACTGTAGAATTCTGAAATTGTGAAATTCTAAATTTTGTTTAGTTCAGAATAGAGTGGGAATAAGAGGTTTTCACATTCTGAGAGCCTGAAATTCTGAATGTGTTTTAAATGAGAGCACAGTGGCCATGTGGAATTCTCACAGTCTGAGATTGTGACATCTGACTATGTGCAAACTGAATATTTAACCCTTCATCGTATAGGATCCTACAAAACACAGGATTCCTATATAGGATTACCTAGGATTTTGTCAGAATTATATTGAGCGAGGTCTGTACTTTACTAGTAACAACTCATTAAAATGTTTTTCAACAATACATTCTCGGTTGCGATCCATCAAGAAATTCGTGTCGTTGACCAGTGACTACTGGATGATGAGATAGTCCACTTCTTGTACAGTCATCTAAGTGACTGTACAAGAAGTTCTTTTATGACAGCTTTCATGATAGTTCATTTATGCAAACGGGCGAGATGTCGTACCCTGTATTCTTCTATCACATAATTTTATTTTTCCAATTTTATTCTCTTTCTATAGTCTTCATAAATTTCGAGAAGTATATACGGTCTACAAGCAGTACACAATGAGGGCGCGTCTTTACGCCCCAAGCATCAAAAAAACATCTAGTATCACCCGATCCATCTAGATTACTAGATTTTTACTCGATTGCAACTATTGGGTAACGACAGTGGAAATCTAGTAATCGGGCAGTTACTAGATTTCTTCTAGTTGCAACGAACTATTGCTAGTTACACATGCAGAGACATCTAGTTAAAAGTCCCATTTCTAAATCTAGATGGCAACTAGTTGTGTATCGCCCGATTACAGACGAAATGTATTTAGATTTTTCCCATAGATGATGTTTGCTTGGGACTGTCCACTTGGGACTAAAATCTTATTATAGAAAAACGAAATAAATATCAAGAAAATTTTATTCATATATGATACAGTAGATTATAGCAAGAAAATAGAATATAGGGTACTGATATGATGCATTGCTCATAAGAATCGGAACCTTTAATACGTTCGAAGTAGTTGACTTACAAATATCTTATATAAAAATTCTATAAGATTCTGACCAGAATCTTATCAGTTGCTTATATGAGATTCTGAATGATTTTAGAGCTTAAAATGATTTTTTAGCACGGCATAGAACAGCTGAAGAGAGCAGCAAATTGAACAAGGAAACACTAGAGTATGGACTGGATCTGCGAAAATTACGGCCGTTTTCTCCCAAGCGTCAAAAAAAAATCTAGTATCGCCCGATTCATCTAGATTACTAAATTTCTACTCGATTGCAACTACTGTGTAACGACAATGGAAATCTAGTAATTGGGCGATTACTAGATTTTTTCTAGTTGCAACTATCGATTTATCACCCGATAATCGATCGATTTAATTATTACTAGATGCACCTGCAGACGCATCTAGTTAAAAGTCCCTTTTTCAACTAGTAATCTAGATGGCAACTAGTCGTGTATCGCTCGATTATAGACGAAATGCATCTAGATTTTTCCCATAGGTGATATTTGCTTGGGCTTGTCAGAATCAGATAAGAGTTTCATAAGAAATTGATAAGAAACGGGTAAGATTCTTATAAAATATTCATAAGAAAGTGACAAGACGGCTTGTTACTTTCTTATGAATATCCTATAAAAATGTTATCAGAACCAGTGGACTTCTTATCACTTTTGTGCAACATCTTATATACGAACCTTGAAAGAGTCTTATCAGAAACTTCTAAAAGTTGCTAAATAGTTTGTATGTATCTTGTGAGATCCCTATATAACAATCTATGTCTAGGGATCGACGTAGAGAATCCGAATTGAATGCCGTCTTTCCAGAGCAAAAAGGATAGCAATACTGTTAAAAAAATTCACATCAGATCTTAGGGGCAGCCTACCACCTTCGTGTGAATTTTCCACTATGATAAGTTTACACTAAATATTAGGTTACTAAATACATTGCTGTAGCATATGTTCACATTATATATATTTATTTCTTTGTTTACTTTTGAAATCAAGCTCATAACTGTTCAATGTTTATTTTTTTTCGAGTTTGTTTAAAAAACCAATGACATGATACACAAAACAACTGCGAATTGGAATAAAACAATATCTGGCTGTCTAGTGAAGACGACTTTGTCATTTCGTTTCGAAGGAAAATCCTTAGTGGCATCAACACCCATAAAACCTTCTCAAACGTTGGCCGCACTGTCAGAAGTTTTTATATGGTATATTGCCTGCTGGAGTAAATTATCTATTTTTGTAAAATTATAGTACAAACTGCTATTGATAGACTTGAATGCTCCAAAAAAAACGCTTAATTTATATCTGATCTTAGCAGCACAAAAAACAAAATTCATCAATATAAGTTACGCGTGATTATGTTAGAAAAAAAGCTCACACAACAGAAAATGTCAATTATAAAACACCAATTTTTAACATAATAATATAAATATTATACACATTAATTATTGGTTGAATATAATCTATTTGATAAA